AAAGAAAAAATAAATAAAAACAAATTTAATTACATTTACGCTTAAGTTATTAGACTTAATATAAGAATATTAATAACTAATAAATAAGATTATCATTGAAATTGCCGTTAAATCGAATTCAATTCAAATATTGTTTAAGAAATTAATTTTCAATTTTTAGTTTAAATTAAAGAAATGTTTTTCGTATAAAAATTCTCGTTATATTTATTTAAAAAACACTTTCAATCACTTCTAAAAGTGAATAATACCTTTCAATAGAGAAGTCATCCACACCTGCGGCTAATGGCTTAACACCGGGTCTCCAGTGTTCGCGAGTCAAGTCATTGTCATTCGTGAGTCGATGACCAGCCGTAACAGCGATGGTCGGAGTGGTGTCACGGCTTCCGATGTTTGCGCGCCATTACATCGTGCGGTTAGTCTCGCAATTGGACGCAAACCTGATAATGAAGACATAGTTAATGTGATGACAGAATCAGTTAACAGGTAATGAGAGGTACACTCGTATTGACCACAATGTGAATGTCACTCAATTAACTAATTGTTGGCATTAGTATAAACTGTGATACGAATCGACGGTCTGTTAAAACCATATAAATTGAAAATTCGTTTTTAATGACAAAATAAAAAATATAATTTACAAAACTTTGGCTAAACTCAAGTATACCTGAAGTGAGTATTCAATGTCTAAATACATCGGTCTATAGGTATGAGTCATACCGTATGACTAATTAATATTAAAAAAGTAATTAAAAAACTATTTTAATTATCAATCCGTGAATCCTATTGGCTGTGAGGGTTCACATCAAGCAATAGACGGCCCACTCATTGGCTGAGAGTTAGCGCGGGTTTTGATAACATGTTTGCATAGAATAAGCCGTTGTTTATGTCGTCATTGCTTTGATTGTAAACATTGAGACATGTCTTACGATTTGAATGGATCCACACTTTCATGCGGTAAACTATCACTTCATCCCATTATCGCAACACTTGACATATCACTCAAACAGATCCCAATTATATCATCGACAACACCGTCGACGAGCGCTCGTTGGACGACGTCTTAGACATTGTCGAAGGCGTTGACAATCGCGCCGTCACTGACGCCACCGATCGTGTCATCTCTCGGCCCCACAAACGGCCCAAAGAGCGACGCAAACCCGCGAGGAATGAGCCGAAGACGAGTAGATCACCGGTCATAGCGATAGGCGACGAGCGGTCATCCGTTGATCATAAGCCGACCCAAAAGTACGGCCGAGTCTTTCAATGCATTTTCGGTGTCCATAAACCGTATAAAAAGCACAAAGAGTTCACTTTTGACGGCTTTCTGACCGTTGATCGTCACGACAAAAACGTCCAACTGATCGATGTCTACGGCAAGAGGTGTGCCAAACATATGACTCCATTCGAGCCATCATTTAATGATTTGTTAATCTATTGATAGAGTTTCCGACTCGAAGGTGAAGAGCGCGAGTCTATTAGAGTCGGGCAATAGACTAGTGGTCGGCCACAAAGAGCTGGAGATCGGCGACGAGATGTCACCGCAAGAGTTCGAAACCGGGAACTACTTCGAGAAACAAGTGGTCACTTATTGTGATTGACTCTCATATCATAACCACTTCTACACGTATTATAACAACTCTTTCATTATTTGTATTATAAAAACTCATTTATCCGTACGTTTTGTGTCATTAATACTATTCATTATAATTAAAACTACTTTTTAATTCTCTGTAAATTACAAACAAATACTTATTCTTCGAAGTTTTCAATAAATGTTTTAAATACTGTTTAAATGAATGTTTTAATTTGAATAAAGCATTAAAATATTTGATGAAATGTCATTGAAAAATGTCAAATAACTACTAAAACCGAAATTATATTTATATTATTAATTATTCATAATTAAATTGATTGACACAATGATTGATACAATGAACTGATTGTACAGTATTCCCAAACCCCTACCTCTGGGAATAGTGTACTTTATGGCGACACCAATGACTGAGAGATGAATGAGATAATTGATTGCCACAAATTAATGGCAATCTTATGATTGGTTTCATTTAGTAAATGAATTGAATAGCAATCAAAAACTTAAACCAATTGCGAAGAGTGTGTGAATGCTTTGGTTAGTCAAGCGGTACAACACATAGAGTCTAATGGCTATAGCGTTGGACGCGGACGGCGA